GAACTGTAGGAAAGCTGGAGGAGGACGGGGCCTCAAGGGGTCATCTGGTCCATCCTCCTGTTCAAAACAGGATAAGCCTTCAAGTTAAGTCAGTTTGCTCAAGGCCTTGCCCAGTTGAGTTTTGAAAATACCCAGGGATGGAGATTCCACAGCTTCCTCTGGCTCTTTCTCTGCACTTTTTTGAAAGAGTCTGGCTGTGTCTTCTCCTCCTTTAGGTAGTAGAAAACTGTGATTAGATTCCTCCTTGGCTTTCTTTTTTTCCAGGTTAAGCAAACCCAGTTCTCTGTATCTCTTCTCATGTTATGTGCTTCAGCCCCCAAAGCTTCTTAGTGGTTCTTTAATGTACGTATTCCAGTTTTTCAGTGCCTTGTAACTGGGTGCCCAAAATTACACACAGTATTCACAGTTTGACCTTATGAGTACTGAATAAAAGGAGATAATCACTTCACTTGACCTACTGGTTTTGCTTTTAGCCCAAGTGTATGTTGATAATCTAGTGGTTTATCTAATATACAGTTCATGTAGCCTCTCTTTTTCTGTGTTCACAGAGACAGTGCCATACCATAGCATTATATCTGTAATACAGATGAAAGGAGAGACATTTGGAGACATTCCGGTCTGTCAAAAAGGAACTGATAAATTTATTAGGAAATGAAAGTCAGCATTGCTTTGTAGAATTTGAAAGTGTTTGCTTTTGTTTGTTCCCCAGCCATTAATGTCTTTCAGTCCATGGCCTGAATCAATAGATTTAATTGTTTGGGTTAAACTTTTTGCTTCTGGATTACTGTTCTTGGTTTGTCGTTCTTCCCTCCTGCAGAAGCATGCTGGGAAGATCCTAATTCTACCATCATACTAACTGAAAAATTTAAGATTGAGCGATAGGTGGATCAAAGGCAAGAGAGTGTACCAAGAAAGCAGAACATTTGAAACTGAATGGACTCATAAAATGAATGACTTCTTTCTGAAAATAGAGACAAAGAAGAATTCAGATTTTAGCCAAAAGTATTGTAGTATTCTAGTATTATATACACCCTAACTTTTGACAACACTAGTTTTCCCATGGTGAAGCAATCATGTTTAATTAAATTATATTGACAAGATCAGTGGATATTATTTGGTAAGCATGTTTTTTATCTAGGATTTAAAGAACAAAGTAAGCACCACTAGATAACTATTAAGATTTTAGATTGATTCGTGGGGAATTATATCAAGGACAAAAAAATCCTTGTATTTAGTTTTCTGTGTAGAAGCTAATTTAAACATAAGCAAGGGATAAAAAGCACTGAAGAGACCATTCATTTTGGCAGCGTTTTGAGCAAAGCGGACAGTATTCAGAAGGAGTTCAAAGAGCTTTTTGTAGGTTGAAATGAAAGCTTAATTTTAAAAAAAGAAATTAAAAAAACTAAGCTTAGTAATCCTTTTTTTACTTATCTAGCACAGCTGCAGTTAAAAGGAGTTTCTGTAAAATGTTTATCAACTCCAAAACATTTTTTATTCTAAGCTATTCCTGAGTAGAGTTGCTTTTTTTACTGTTCTTGTAATGTGGTGGTCAGGTATGGGATATAGGGAGTTCAGGAAGCTTTAGGTTATAGGGGGCTTTTGCATAATGCTTACTGTAGTTAATATTCTGTTTCTTTTATATTTTACATGTTTTCTTTGTATAAATTTTGAATGGCTATAAAGACCTTCATCTCTGCTATTGATAATGCTTTCAGCTTAAGTTTTGCATTTACAACTGCTTTTTTTTAAGGCATTTCCAATATAGAAAATCCTGTAGAAGTCAAAGTCCAAGGTAATATTTTTCTGAGTTGGAGTGAAGATAATTTTATTTCCAGGAAGTGCTGAGCATACTCTTTGAGGTTTGCTGGTTAAAAGTCTTGTCTGAATGCTTCTCAGACTTATTGTCAGTCATACTGATTTTTATTCGTCCTAAAGTATTTTATCCCAGCCTCATCACCTACGATTTGACAAGTTGCTAGCAAAAGATGTCTCTCCTTGCTTCTAGACATGTAAGAGTAGCCTTTGTTCCTGTTAGTCTTGGGCTGAATTCTGATCTTCAGACACCTTAAAGAAGCCTCACGTACACAGGGCCTGGCCCTCAGGGTGACTTGAATAATCCTCATGCCTGATGAAAGGATAATACAGAAGAGCTAAAGAAACCTAGGAGATTTCTTAAGTGCATTGATGACAGCTTCCTGGCACAGTTGATAGACGAGCCAGCAAAGAAAGGTGCTTTGCTGGACCTGATGCTTATGAAAAATAAAAACTGGTCAGGGACACAAAAGTTAAAGAAAACCTTGGCTACAGTGACCATAAGATGATGGAGTTCAAGATCCTTAGAGAAGGGAGCAGGGGAAAAAGCAGGACTACAGCTCTGGATTTCAGGAGAGCAGACTTCATCCTCATCAGAGCTCTGCTTGGAAGAATTGGATAGGCTATGGCCTTAAGAGAGGAGGGGTCTGGGAGAGCTGGCTGATACTCAGTGATCACTTCTTCCAAGCTCAAGAAAGGACCATCTCAACAAGTAGGAAATCAAGCAAAGGTGGCAGGCATGGTTGGGCAAGGAGGTCCTAACTGAACTTTGACACAAAAAGGAGTGTACAGAAGGTGGAAGCAGGGGCGGGTGAGCCAGGAGGAGTGTAGAGCTCCTGACCAGTCTTGCAGAGATGGGGTTAGGAAAGCAAAAGCCAGCCTGGAGTTGAATCTGGAGAGGGTTGTGAAGGGCAACAGCAAAAGGATTCTACAAGTACATAAACAGCAAAAGGAAGACTAGGGATAACTAGAGGCCTGCTACTGAACGGGCCAGGGTAGCTGGTAATAAATGACATGGAAAAGGCCAAAATGCTTAATGCTGCCTTTGTCTCAGTCTTTGCAGTAAAAACAGCTTTCGGGAATCCCAGGCCCCTGAAGCTAGAAGGAAAGTCTAGTGCAAGGAGGACTTCCACTTGGTGGAGGAGAACCAGGTTAGGGAGCAGTTAAACTGGACATACATAAATTTGTAGGGCCTGAGGAACTGTACCTGTGAGTGCTGATGGAACTGCCATTATGAGGTAGTTCTTGATTATCTTTAAATCATCATGGTGATTGGGAGAGGTTGGGAGAGCAAATACCATTCCTATCTTCAGGAATGGCAAGAAAAAGCTCTGGAGAGCTACAGGCTAGTTGGCCTCAGCCTACTCCCTTGGGAGGTGATAGAGGAAGTCCTCCTGGAAAGGATTTACAAAGTCACAAAGGACAAGAAGGTAATCATGAGTAGTCAGCATGGATTTACAAAAGGGAGCTCATGATTGACCAACCTGGTAGCCTTCTGCAATGAGGTGACTATCTTGCTGGACAAGTGGAAAGCAGTGGATGTTGTTTACCTCAATTTTAGTAAAACCTTTGACACTTATCTCCTATAACATCACAGACAAGCTGACAAAGCATGGCTTAGATAAGTAGACAGTGAGGTGGATTGCAAACTAGCTGAATGACCAGACCCAGAGGGTTGGGATCAGTGTCGAAGTCCACTTGGAAGCAAGTCACTAGAGGTGTACCCCAGGGGTCTGTACTGGGGCTAGTACTATTTAACATCCTCATTAATGAGCTGGGTGATGGGACAGAATGCACTTATAGGAAGCTTTCAGATGGTATAAACCTGGGAGGAATGGCTGGTACACTAGATGGTTGGGCCACCACTCAGGGGGACCTCAACAGGCTAGAGAATTCTCATGAAGTTCAACAAGGGGAAAGGCAGGGTCCTGCTTCTAGGGAGCAATAACCCAATGCACCAACCCACACTGCGATTTCACTGTTGTAAAGCAGCTTGGCAGAGGACCTTGGGGTCCTGGTGGACAACAAGCTGAACATGAGCCAGCAATGCACCCTTGTGGCAAAGAAGGCCAACAGCATTCCAAGAATAGTGTTGCCAGCAGGTCAAGGGAGGTGGTCCTTCCTTTCTGCACTGCTGAGGCTGCATCTGGAGTACTGTGTCCAGTTCCCCAGTGCAAGAGAGATATGAGCATACTGGAACAAGTCCAGCACAGGGCCACAAAGATGATTAAGGGACTGGAACATCTCTCGTATGAGGAGAAACTGAGAGAGCTGGAATTGTTCAGCCTGGAGACAAGAAGGCTCAGGGGGGATCTTATCAATGTATATAAATAAAGGATGGGAGGGAATGAAGATGAGGGAGCTGTACTCTTCCCAGTAGTGCCCACTGACAGGACAAAAGATAATGGCACAAATGAAAACACAAAATTCCATCCGAACACAAGAAAATCTTTTATGGTGAGGGTGGTCAAACAGTGGAACAGGTTGCCCAGAGATGTTTTGGAGTCTCCATTTGTGGAGATACTCAAAACCTGACTGGACATGGCCTTGAGCAGTGTGCTCTAGCTGACCCTGCTTGAGCAGGAGGGGTGGACTAGTTGAGTTCAACTGATTCCTTCAGGCCTTAAATGAATCTGTGATTTTCCAAGTCTTAAATCCAGGCTATAGCATCCTATGTAATCCCTGTGCTTATACCGTAGCTTTGGCCAAGCTTAGCTCTTGTGACTTTTATTTTAGAATCTGCAGATAGTGATTTGGATTTTGTTACAGAATATATCCATGTCATACTAGTAATAAAAATTTTGAGATGCAGACGTTTTGGTTGCTTAAGGAATTGTCAATATGTATATCTGTCTTACCTGAAAGGTCTTCAGAAAACAAAGTCATAATTTCTTCAGATATTCCAGTGAATGCTGCTGATCCAGCCTACCTCTTCTGTACAAATACTCACGAGAGCAGAACTGACCACAGACCCAGGAGCTGCTGCGGCAGTGTCCATAGGCGCAGGATGCCTAGCTACACAGCTGCTGCATGGCACACACAGAACAGTTGCACAAAAGATAGAAGTTAATGAATGTTTGTTTTAATTGATTTTGTATATTAGTGTTATGCTAGTTTAGTTTATAGTTGCAATTTATTTTATGACCATATGTGTAGCACTAACATTTGTATTTATTTTTAATTTGCAGGATGGAGGTCTGCTTCTAAATAATCCTTCTGCACTGGCAGTTCATGAGTGCAAGTGTCTTTGGCCAGATGTCCCATTGCAGTGTCTGGTATCGCTGGGCACTGGTCGATACGAAAGTGGGGGAAAAAGCAATGTGACATACACCAGTCTGAAAGCCAAACTCACAAATGTTATCAGCAGTGCAACTGATACAGAAGGTTGGTGTCACATTTATATTGTGACTGTTTTCAGTTTTTTATGTTTCTTAGAATTATAGTTTAAATTCAGAGAGCAATCTGCAACTTTCCGTCTTTCCTATTTTTCTCTCTATCCACCCCATTAAAACTACTTGAAATGCGTCTCTTCATAACTCACTATGTGTTGTTGGTGATTAAGTGGCAGTATTACAGGTTTTCTGGAGGTGATAATATGAATGCATTCCTTAGCCTTATCTCCCTGAGATATGTTCTTCATTATGTTGTTGCTAAGCTCTTTTAGTTTGAGGTCTCAGCTGTTAATATGAGATTGATTACATAAATATACTAAAAATAAAAGATACCTTAAAATTTACCAGAATGATGATATCCAACAAGGTTTAAACAAAGTGGTATGTTTTTACCTGTGCTTCAGAATAAAGGCATACTCAGGAACTCCTTTCAATAGAAAAATCATATTTTCTGATATTTGGGGCTTTTTTTTCCAACAAACAGAAATGCTTATTAGTTACTATAGAACTCTGGTTTTCAGCAGCATCAGAAAAAGTATTTTAGTTCTGTTCTTTTCTATATATGCTTTTATACATGTGCTTTTCTAAGGACTAGACTGTATCTGTGAATGGTCATGACTTCCATTGCTGTCACGAGGAGCCAATCACGTGTTTTCCAAAATAAACTCTCTTCCTAGAATGGGAGTACACTGAAACTCTATCACTAGCAGTTTACATCTGTTTTGTTTTTATGAACAGGAAATATTGATATGCAGATGCGTCCTCCCCACCTTACAAACAAAACTGATACTGAAAAAAGTTAGGGAACAAGAAATACTCTTACAGTCTAGATCCCTTGCTGCATGATCTCTGTCAACGGATTGTCATGAATAAGAAAAATCTAGATTTTTGGGCCACCTTTGTTTTTTGCACAATCATGAAAAGGCAGTGGGAGTTGTGGGAAGGAAAGACTTGCTGCCCACTTTCTGTCAAAGGAAGAAAGTTTCATTGCAAATCAGGCAAGACATCTGATGGAGAAGAGGAGGAAAGGCAAGTTCATTGTGGAGAACAAAGGAGAGGATAAGGAAAGAGGGGAGAGTAAATTTGAGCAAATGGTAGGTAATATTATGAAGGAAAAAGGGGAGAGTATTAAATAGGACAAGAGAGATTGGATGTGGTGAGACAAGAATAAAGAGCTGAGGAATTTACAGGAGGAGGGATTAACCAGGGAAGATTTTAGGTTAATAAGAGGTTTCACTTTAGAATTTGTATATAACAGTAGATGTTTAAAAGAATGGAGAAGCGTGGTAAGAATGCAAAGAAGATGGAAATATAAAGAAAGAAAGATGAAGTGATGGAAATGGAATTTTAATGGAGGCAACGAAGAGAAGAGATCTAAAAGGACAGAGAAAACAGGTTATAAAAGAGAAGAAAAAAGGGAGAGAGGAACATACAAATACATTACATAGCCAGTTTATTATTGCACTAGTTAACTGAACTGTTACAATTTAACTTTAACATTTCCAATTAAATGAATGTTAAATTCAAACTCCAAATCTGTAATAATATAAAAATTAATTAGTTACAAACAAAAGAAATCTTTAATCCTACATGTTTTTTACTGCAGTCTTTGAGATTAGAGAAGAATCTGTAGCTGTCATTTTCATAATACCTACTTCCATTAGTACTGAGGGTAACAAACCATGGGTATCCTGAATGGAAATATGTAAGTTACATTCCTGCACTCTCATTTATAAAGGAATGGAATGTACATGTAATTAAAAATCTGGATAGCTGCAAAGCCGCCTTAATTGTCATACCAGTGAAGTTGTCTTAGATAAAAGATGAAGCTTTTCCAGAGTAAACGGAGCTACGGGCTCTTTTGCAAACCTTCTAATGAGAAAGAGGTTTCGATAAGGCAGTGGTGGAAAAATGTTTACTCAGCAAAGCAGCGCATATTTAAATTTACTGTGTTACTCCAGAGCACTTGTTGTTCAGAACCTGTAGGACTGTTTGTCTGTCTGCTCTAACTGTTGCCTTCATTTTTATTTTTTCAATGCAGAAGTTCACACCATGCTGGATGCACTGTTACCTCCAGATACTTACTTCAGATTTAACCCTCTTATGAATGAAGACATACCTCTGGATGAAAGTCGTAAAGAGAAACTCAATCAGCTGCAGACAGATGGGATTCGTTATTTAGAACGAAATGAAGAAAAACTGAGAAAAGCTGCAAAAATATTAACGCAAGAAAAAACAACTTTGCAGAGACTTCAGGACTGGATAAGATTAAAGGCTGACATGTATGAAGGCCTTCCATTTCTTTCCAAATTGTGAATATGTAATGCATGATAGATCATTAATGTAAATCTTGTTCCAGAAAATCCACTCAGTACTGTAAAGGAAGAATGTTTATTGGGGGTGAATATCTTTGGAAAGCTGTCAGAATTCTGGAGAAAGCAATTCAGGATGGCTGTTTTGTGCATACTTACTTGATACAAGGTTTTATGTTGTTAATTATTTTTTGAACCTTACAGATCTTACTGTGGCTCTACTTAAGTTTATTAAAGTCAGTAAAACTGAAAATTATTAAAACAATTGTGCTATGTATTTTTGGATGTATGTACCATAATTATGGTGGCAATAAAACTTTATCAACTACCAGGCTTATCCAAAATTAACAAAAAGTAAAATCCTCATTCACTTTAATGTAGGCTATATACCTATTAGGCTCTTGTGTAGCCAGTGACTTTAATAGAAATGTAACGTTCTTAAAAAAACTTGGCCTGTGTTAATTGCACTTTTACATTTGAAAAATGACGTTTAAATTCTTTTCTTATTTTCGGTGGTTTTTGTACATAATGTATTGAGTAAGATGTTTGGATGACTATAAATGGTGTATTAAATTATCAAAATTAACTGATATTTTTAGGACTTGCTGCTTATTGGTTTTTTTTATTGGAATAACTTTAGATTGGGTCATTCATTATTTGAAAATAATCCCAAGCCCTAAAACATTACTTGAGCAGTTATTCCTATCATGGGATAAAGGAAATAAAATCTTGAAATAGCTCATGTGAGTGAGCTTACTTATAGAAGCTTCAGTTTTGGATGCCAAACTTCAGGTGTCTCTAGTGAAGAAAAAAAAATAGCAATAGATACATGAAATAATAAATTATGCATTTCCTTTTGTCTTGTAACTTTCATCTATGTTTCCTCTTGAAATTACCTTAGAGTTGTGAAGTTAACATTTAGTGCTTACTACTGCTTATTCCTTTGAAACTTTTCTCTTATGTCAGGAAGGGTGGTGTGATGAGCTATGACGATACAGTACGTCAGTGAAACATTTTCAGCAACAGGAAGGTACGTGTGAGTTCTTCAAAACAGTCTGGCTTCAGTGAAATTTGTTAGACAGCTGCTGTCACACATTGGGCACATACCCATTAATAAGATTGCTTGACAGGTTTCTGGGTGAGTTTTTGCATCTTAGTAGACGGCTACAGTACATTAAAATATTTACTAAATAATATATTACATGTAATGTAACATTTACCATTATACATAATATACATATATATACTATACATATAAATATGTATTACATTATACATATAATATTTACTAATAATATTTACTAAATAATGAAAAAATTGTTTATGCAGTAGATGAAATGTCCAGTTTCATGAAAAAAACAGTGCATTTGTTACTTTGCCTGTTGGGACTGATCACTTGCCATCTACTAAAAATAGCATTTACTTTGATTTACCTTCTATACTTGTCTTAAAACATTGAAAATGTTACGAGGCTGCCTTGAGGAAAGGAACTTTGAGGAGAACATCTGAGATCCTTTGTTATCTTAGGATTTGCTACATACTATTCTGTGACTGTGCAAGAAAACATTTGATTTTGTCTGCTCTTTCTTTAATCTGACATTTTTAATTTTTACCTGTGTCATTTTACTCAGATATCCATACTTTTCTATGTTCCCTCCATTCTCTGGCTTGTTTTTGACAGTGAAAAACATTTTTTAAATTGTTTTCAGTGCAAACAAATTCTAGGTGCACAAGGATTAAAGAAACCTTTTGTCATTCAGTATGTAAGAAAAGGAGAAGAGAAACAGAGAGAAAGAAAAGTTTAAAAGCTACAGCAGTTTAAAGAAGTGAAAGAATATGTTGTTCATTCCCCACCCCCCCTTTTTTTTTTTAAAGCTATGAACACCAAAAGTAGTTCCTTTAATAGGGCAATAAAAATACTAAAAAGGGAAGTTTTATATTCTTGGTGCAACTGTACTTTATATAACTTTCCTTCTTCATTCCAGTTATTAAGAACTGAGTAAAAGAATAAAGAGATCAAGCCTTTCCCATTGGTGTGAGATAGTTTATGCATATAAAAAAGAAATGTCAACATTATTCTGATCAAGGCACCTTGTATAGAATTAAGCTGTGTTGCCAGCATCCTAAATCAAAATAGACAATGTGGGATGATCACATGTAACAACATAGATAATACACTTCTTCCCCTGGCAAAGGGCAAAGTCATGGTGTCATCTGTAAGGCTATCAAAGGCATTATTCTGAATTCTTAAGTTTCCAGTCATAGCTTTTTGGGATGGACATTTATTTAAGAAAATAGTTACCTGTAGTGAACTAAGTGATAACATTTCAATTTAATTTTTATACAACTAAAACCTGTGAGTTACTGAAGTTCAGACAGCGGGGTAGGGGTCTGTACTGAGCTAGGCTTGTGGTGAATGTCGTTTCTGTTTACTGTAATGCAATAATTTATTTTTTTTCATTGAGAAGTTCTCCAAGTACTCTGTACTCTTCTCACAGTTAAATTTAACATTATCCTAGGAATTGTTTAGAGAATGTAAACCAGGAAAGCTACCCAGCTTTTGAATGAGTACAGAATATCTCAAATTAGCTTAATTTAAATATCAGGTTGTTTCTAGTTCTTGATGAGCTACCTACAAAGCTTCCACTGCAGGTCTGTTGAAAACACAGTCATTTTGTATAGAGCCTTGTTTTTTCTAATCTACCTTCCAGAAGACTACATTAAACATATTCTAGGCTGATGAGTGCATCTATTTGGCTGACTGTTGAGATCCCATATTTAAGAAGATACAATGTACTTGCTGACATCTGCTTTGTCTCCATGTTACTTGACATGGCCTTTCCAATGGATTTACATTAATGCATTTAATCAGCTCACAGGAGTGAGGGCAAGTATCGTTTGCCTTCAAAAGGGTACTTGCAAAACGTTGCAGCTGGTTGTTTTGTCTTTGTGAAACCCCAGTGTGTATAGCTTCAGTCCACAAACTAGGACATGAGAAGTGCATGGGCTTCATGTTAGACCTCTGTAAAGCTTGGTTTTAGTCTCTGGTGTGCACTAAAGGAAGTCTGGTTCTGAATTGCATAAATACTAATGTTTGAGATAGAGCACATGTATGTAAAGATAAGTGATAGCAACAACACTAGGTAAATTACTCATGGAACACTGGTTCACTGTTGTGCCTAAAGAGGGTAGAAGTATCACAGCTCTTAAACCGAGGTCAAGGCTACATATAAAGTGCAAGAAGAAAAGGCTGTATTTACATCAGGTTTGTTCTATGAAAATAATCTGATTCAGTTTGAATGTATTGCTAATTTTTTACGTTGATGTCTTGAGGAGAGGGAGGGAGGAGTTTATTTCAGTTAGGGCAAGATCTGGATTTGTGATTACACTGGTTTTGCTGGAAATTACTCTTACCTTCATTCACCCTTTTTCCTCTATTGCTGTGACAATATTTTTTCTTAGGTGTGGCTTTTAAAAGTACACATGGAATTGAGTTGAGCTATGGAGTAATTAATTCAGACAGTTTTAGGCCACTGTGTATAAATTCACAAGGTACTTGTATTGAATCCTTTCAAAGGAAACTCTTTGATCCTCAGTGTTGCAAGCGCTGCACTGACTATCAGGCACTAATTAGGAGTTTGCTCTCCCCTCTAACTACTTTAAAATGTACAGGTGCAACAGTTTTATCACTCTAGCTGTAATTAGTTTGCCGTTTCTTAAAAATATATATTAGCTGTTTGGAAGGAATTCCAGCTGTTGTGGAGGTGTTCCTACAGCACTGTGTATAAAGTAAATCTATTTTCAGGAAGTTTATTGAGGCATTAGATATGCATAAGTATCACATCTGATACTTTAATAGAGTAAAATGGAATCAGGAGAACTGTAGAGGAATCAGAACTAAATAAGGAAAAATAATTTTTATTATTTTTTAATTACTGATAGGGAGCAGAAGGATTAGTGCAGGGTCAAATACAAGCATATTTTAACTAATCATTGGGATGGATGGAAGAACATGATAATTTTCTTCACAGGTAAATCTAGGAGGGAACATGAATATTTTGAACAATAGGATTTCACTGGAGCATGAATTTGAGAAGAAAATAGACTAGAATTTTAAAAGTGCCTCTGAAGAATAAAAATGTAAAATTAACAATGGGAAAAGTAATAGTCTAATGCAGAACATCAGGTTAAAGGAATCCTGCTTTGAAGAAGTACCCTGGGGAATGCTGTGCAGCTATCCAGTTAACAAACTGAAATTGACTCAGCAGTCACAGCTGCAAAAATAAGTACCTGTATCACTGCATCAGAGAATTCCTTGGCCAGGAAAATGTGAACAAACCATAAAAAATAAGATACCAATGTGAATTTTTAATTTAGAATAAAAAATCACAAGAAGATAGTAGGTAACTATTCCAGGTTACTCAGGAAGTCAGAGAAGACATCAAGATTTGTCTGCCCAGATGAGTGTTCATATTTGAAATGTGCCAGGTTTGCAGCCTGGAAAGAAAATCAGGAAGTTCATGCTTTAGTTTAGAAAGTGATAATGTCAAATCTTTGCAAAATTGACATAATGTCCTTGCTCTGATTTTGAAAGGCAGGTTGAAAGCGTCCAGACCAGGAAATGAAAAGGTATAGACATAAAATAATCTCCCTTTATGCAAACTGAGAAAGAGAAAAAGCCACTAGGTCATCTCTTAATTTCTAATTATCTATGCAGAAGGAGATCTTAATTGAAGGAGGTTTAGTTACCAAAGGAAATAAACTAAAGCTTTTAAATGTTGAAGTGTGATCACTGATTTTAAGATACTTCTTGTCAGTGGTCCATTCCAGCAGTGACAGGAAGATACTGATTATATTGCACAAGGTGCAGGCAGCAGCAGTTGAATATAATTATAGTTTTGGTCATTGCTATTAGAGAAAGACATATTCAGACTAAAACAGATGCAAAGAGGGGCTGCCAAAGGGAAGATTAAGAGAGCATGGTTTGTTTCGTCTAACAAAACAAGGGCTGGAAGGGGGGTATGTGCTGCTTTTTAAAAATACTTCAAGAAGGAAAAGATAGTAAGCTAAAGGACAACACTTGCAAAAAAACAAAGGTGCTCAAACTGACCAGAAATACATTTGGCCAGAAAGTAAAAAGGTGCTAAAGGCCTGTGGAGCGAGATTACAGAATAGCTATGCTGAGAATTAATAGCACAAAATAAACTATTTCAGTGTAAATTTTAGAAACTAAGCTCATGAATGGGGTTCTATAACGCTCTATGAGAATGGCTACAGTCTCCAAGGCCAACTGAATCCCTTCAAACCTGTGCAGCAGGTAAGAACTCA